ACCCCTCCATTCCCAGCCCTTTTTAGGGTCTCACTAAGTTGCTTAGGGCTTCTATAAGACTGAGGCTGAGGCTGGCTTTGAATTTAAGATCCTCCTGCTTCCTTATCTTTTTTTAATGTCTGAGGATTCTGTAATAATATACCTGATTAATTCATTTATGAACAAATATTATATATTTGTAATTTGGGTCATCTTTTTTTGTCAGTTTTGCTAGAAGTTTGTCAATTTTATCAAAACTTTCTAAGAACAGGGTCTTTGTTTCACAGAGTTTGCTCTATTGATTTTTGTTTTCACTTTAATTTTTAGTCCTTATTGTTTTCTTCTGCTTGTTTTGGATTTATTTTATTCTTTTCCAGGTTCTTGAGGTGGGAGCATGGATTTTTGAATTGACACTTTCCCTCTTTTCTAATGTATGTAGCTAATGCTATAATTTTTCCTCTTGCTATGGTTTAAGCCATGTCCCACATATTGCACATTTTATTTCTATTCAGTGCAATGTTGTTTTTTTTTTTTTGTTGTTGTTGTTGTTTTTGTACCAGGGATTGAACTCAGAGGCACTCAACCACTGAACCACATCCCCAGCCCTATTTGGTATTTTGTTTAGAGAAAAGGTCTCACTGAGTTGCTTAGTACTGTTGCTGAAGCTGGCTTTGAACTCAAGATCCTCCTGTCTCAGCCTCCTGAGCCTCGGGGATTACAGCTGTGCACCATTGTACTCAACAGTACAATGCATCTTTAAATTTCCCTTGAGACTTCCTCTTTGACTTATGGATTACACAGAAGGGTTCTGTTTAGTTTTCATGTGTTGAAGGTTTTCCTGTTATCATTCCATTATTGATTTAGAATTGATTATATGGTTTTGTATGATTTCAATTCTTTCAAATTTGAAGAGTTTGATACAGGGGACAAGGTATGTTCTATCTTGCAATGTGCTCCATGAAGACTGGGGGAAAAATGCATATTCTGCTGTTGTTGGATACATCTATAAATGTTGAATAGACCCTACCCTGTTGGTTGATGAGCATTCTTAAGTTGTATGTTTCTTAATTTTGTTTAGTAGTGGTATCAGTTGTTGAGAGGGGATATTGAAGTCTCCAACTGTACAAATGGATGGTTCGTCTATTTCTCATTTCAGTTTAGTTATTGCTTCTTGCAGTTTGTAACTCTATTGTTTGATATATACATGTTTAGAATTGCTATGTCTTCTTGATGGATTGAATCATAAAGTTTACATTCCTTTGCCTCTGGTAGTTTTCTTTGAATACTTCTGATATTAATATAGCCACTTTTTTGAAAAAAAATTTTTTCAGTCCATGGTTTATATTTTTATTGTGTTGATTAAGAAAATTTTCCCTTGTCTTTAGTTTTAGAACCTTGACTATGGTGTATCATGAATTTCTATGGATTACTCTTTATGGATTATCCATTGAATTTTTGGTTTACCCTTTTGGGGGTTTGCTTAACTTCCTTACTGAATTTGGAAAGTTTTTTGTCTTATTTGCTTGAGGATTTTTCCATCCTTGTCCTTTTCCTACTTTCCTTCTGGGATTCCCGTGCCATTAATGTTAGATCTTTTGCTATAGACCCACAGGTCCAAGAAGCTCTGCTGTTTTTTTCCAATAAGTTATTGTTTCTCAGATCAGAATTTTTTTGGGGGGGTTTTATCTTCCAATCACGGATTCTTTCTTGTTTCCTACTCTGTTGTGAAGTCAATCCAAAATTATATTTTCCAGTTCCATATTTGCCATTTGGGTTTTCTTTATACATTTTGCTTCTTTCCTGAGACTGTCTTTTTGGTTTTAAGTATGTTCACTATTACTTGTTACATTTTTTTTTACTAAGGATGTTTTAAAATGTTTTTTAGGTAATTCTAACATTTCTTGTTCTTCTGTTAGCATTTATGGATTCTTTTTTATTCCATTTGAGATATTCTTGGTTCTTGGTGGAGGGATTTTCAGTTGAAACTTAGACAACTTGTGTACTGATGCTAATAAAACTTTTTAACTCTTCACCAGGCTTCCTGTGACACCCTGCAGGAGTGTGGGGAGGTGTCTATGGAGCTAGTGGTTGAGAGTCTAGGCTTTGTGTGGTCTCTGCTGACATTGCTAGGGAGCAGAAGGGAGTTCCTTGTTACAACCTGGTGAGGGTAGAAATCTAGACTCCTGGCTGGGTCTTTGCTGGCATGGGTAAGGATGAGGTCACAGGTTTTTCTGTGGTGTTTGACTGAAGTAGAGTGATTATCATCTAAAATATTTCTGCCTTGTTAGGTTGCCCTTCCCAAGTGTTTTGGCTGGAAAGATTAGGCTTAAATTGGGATTTAGTCTGTACTTGGTGTTTGGGGGTTGTCAGTTTCTTCAGCTCCAGGTTTAGGATATGTGAAGCAAAAAGAAAACCTAGGAAATGTACTACTGTGTGATTCCTTAAGTCCTGAGGTCTCCAGTCACTCTGATTTATCCTCACCTTTCATACACAGTGTTCATGTTTCTTGTCGTATTTAAGGGAAGGATAGGGAAAAGCCTACTCTGCTTCTGTCAGTGTTAGTTTGTACAAATCATTTCTGCCAGTAGCATTCACAAAGGACTGGACAAAAGAATGTTAAGTCTCTTGGAGCAAAGAGATAAAAATATAGGATAAAAATCATGGGATGTGGATGTGGATTCAAAATATCCCCATGAGAGGCTTTTGACTGTATATTGACCACCCCATGTTATGCATAAATGTAAAGAAGTCCCAGACAATGACTGTAGCCTCAGGTTGCTTGCAGTCCAGTTAGGAAACCAAGATGTAGATTGCAAAATGCATATGCTACACAAAGCAATAACTATTAAGTTTTCATGAGACATGCAGTTTGTCAAAAAGATACTCAAGAGGGGGTGTCCAGAAAGGTCTCACATTTCACAAAAGCAACAGAATGTGAACTAAGCTCAGGGAAAACAACAACAACAAAAAAACAGGCTTGGATATGGTGGAACAAGGAAGCTGGTGAAAAGGCATCAAGATGGGGAGAATAAAATGACAAAGGTACAAGGTCAGTATTATGAATAATAAAATCCACCATTATATTTATCTGGTATTATTAGAATCTGGGCATTATGCCAAATATCTTATTATGTTATTTAATCATTCCTTGGAATGTGCCATTGAAGTATGAATTATTTCCCACGTTACAGATGAGGAAACTGAGGTTCAGGGAAGCAACTTTCCAAATATCACATAATTGTATGGAGGGAGCACTAGGATTCATGCCCAGGTCTGTCTGAAATATATTAAGCGTTAACCCTAGACTACCTGGATTGCATGCAATATTTCTCTAGATGATGGAATTGACTACCCTGAGCAAGTAGAAGAGAATAAGGTTGGAATCTGAGGCATGATGTGTGAACCCTCACATTTTTTAGCAGGGGACTCCCTGAACATTTCTGAGGGAAGGAATGAGGGCTCTACAGTGAGCCTTTTTGCGGGGTGGGGGGCATCAGGGAGAGGAGACTTAGGGTAGAGGAAGAAAACATAATGGAGAAGATGACCTGGTTTCCAGTAGCTAGGCTGAGAAAGTGGACGTCACACATTGACCTCTGCACAAAGTCCCTTGTCAGGTGAACTTTAATTTAATTAATATTAAATCAAATATTAAAACTAAATAATATTAGTAATTTCAAAATTACTAATAAACCGGCACCATGGTACATACCTATATTCCCAGTAGCTCAGGAGGCTGAGGCAGGAGGATCATAAGTTCAAAGTCAGCCTCAGCCACTTAGTGAGGCCCTAAGGAACTTAGCAAGATACTGTCTCTAATAAATAAACAAAAAAATAAAATGGGCTGGGGATGTAGCTCAGTGGATAAGCACCCTGGGTTCAATCCCAGGTACAAAAAAAAAAAAAAAATACTAATAAAACAAAAAAATTCTTCTGGGGCTTATTAATTCTGTCCCTGTCTGTCTCTATCTCTGTTTCCCCTTCATCCTTCTTCTCCTTCCCTCAAAACAAATGTTACCTTAGAGTCTTTCTGAAGAAAAAACATTCAGAGCTTTTCAATGGAGACTTTGAGATGTGCATGGGTTAATATATATTTAGCTGCTGGCTCCTTATTTTAAAAATGTCATGTTACTGAGTCATGCTTAGTCAGTCATTCAGAGCCTGGTTAAGTTAATTAAACACAATGTGGGTAGATGGAAATGACATCACATACCTCCTTCAAAAGAAGCAGAGGAGAAATAGAGGGGAAAAGGAGTATTCCAATAGAATTTTGTTGCATAAGACTGGATAGAAACAACAACAACAAAAAAATCAGACCAAATATATTCCAGTGATCTCTCAGATGGGACAGTCAAGACACTGTGCTGGAATTATAATCAGGTTCAGGAGCACAGGGAGGGATGGCTAAAGCAGCTCTCAGTCTGGGAGGAACTAGAGTTTATAGAACATTCTACAAAACACATTCCATGGAATGACCCATGGAGTGTGTGTGTTGTGGGGGGGGGGTGTCCATAGTTTGTTACAAAACACTAATTAAACAAATGTTTCATTACTGCAAGTCTTTTCAGAACCTTTAAAAATTTAAAGTGCACTATAAACTCTCAAGAGGGGACTTAATATCCAAGATTCCCAAATCTACTTATTCACAGAAATTCTCCTACCCCACTTTTTTTTTTCTTGGAGATTTTAATTATGACTGGTCATTCACGCTTTATTCTTTCGGAAGTTCTGGGATAGGAAAAGACTTATACATGGCACAAACTGTATCCCCACATGTAGATTATTCTGGTTCCTGGAGGATATGCCTAATGTATGCCTCTAAGATTTTTTTGAGAGCTACATGAATATTTTCTCTTCAAATAAAAATTTACAAAGCCAAGCAATTTTCTTCACATCCCCAAATTTTTCTCCCCAACCCTCTAAACCACCCAAGTGAATCAATAAACTAGTTCATGAGAGGAAATTGCAGCTATTTTATATACTTTTAAAAATCAATAATTATAATCAGATTATAAACCCGAATCGCTTGGCCACATCTCTCTCTGGCTGCTGGGGCTGAAGCTCTTTGTCCTCAGTTCTCAATAGCCCTCTCTCGGCTGATGGGCACACAGCTGGGCCTCTGATGTCCTCTGGTCAAAGCAGCTGATGGGAAGCCCTCTGCCATTCTCTCTCCTGGAGGGGAGAGAGGCCTTCTGAAACTCTGACAAGGTGGGATCTTTCCCGCGGGAGAACTGCTCCATTTTCTGCTCCTTTTTCTTAATGGCTTCCTTGATGCCCTCAATGTGGCACTTTTCCTCTTTTTCGGCTTTCAGCTTCAGAATGTGATGATTCTTCTCCCGCAGGATGTTGAGCTCCCGGAGGCGCTGTGCCTTGTCCCTGGGGGTCCTGTGTGCGTGACTCCGATCCTGCTGGCTCTTCTGCTCCGCTAGCTCCATTAATATCCTCTTGTGCATCTGCCTCTGCTCCTCCGACTCTACGGCGTGACACTTAACCTGTTGGAACTGCTCTTCCTCCTTCTGGGCCTTCTCCTTCAGCTGTCGGTACTGCCCCTTCAGCAGGCCCTGGTGGATCTCTTGGGACCGCATGGAATTCTGCTCCCGCGACAGCTTTCTGAGGAGCTCCTCGGCCTTGGCTTGGCAGTCCATGAGCACCTTGCGGGCCTGATAATTGACGAGGGAGCTCAGATTGGTCTCCTGGACCTTCTTGGTCTCCATCGAGTGCAACTGCCTTTTGTGACAGGCCTCCTCCAGCCTCTTCCGCAGCTGCAGGTTGTTCAGTTCCCGCAAGCTCTGCAATAACCTCTCCTGCTCTCGCAGGCGCTGAGCTTGGCACTGCTTGCGGTGCTCGGCCTCCACGCGCGCCCTCTCCATCCTCGCTAGACGCTGGTTCTCGGGGTCCTGCAGTTGTGACTCCCACCAACTCTCCTCCTGGATCGCGTTCTTCGAGTGGCCGTCCCGCCGCCGGTAGTGATGTTCGCGGCCCCGGCGACTCTTGCGCTCCTTCCGTTGCTGCCACTGCTCTTGACTCTGCCGCAGCAGCAGCCGGCGCTCTCTCTCCAGGGTCATCTGGACCTTTTGGTCTGAGCGCTTCAGCTCCTCCCAAGCGACTGCCGCCTGCTGCTGCAGCTCCCGCATTCTTTGGGCTTTCTGGAGCCGGTTTAGCACTAGGGACACGATCTTCTGGTCCCTCGAGGACATCACCGTCTCTTCCAGCTTGCACTTGAGAATCTGGTTCTGCGGGTCTTTGCTGGAGACCATGGGCTGGGGATACTGACTGGCTAAGGACTCCATCAAATCGTTACAGTCTCTTTGCTGGGTGTACATACAGGCCGACTGGGTCCTTAACTCTTGGGAAGGCACGGAGGACTTGTCTGTGTGTAAAGAGGAAGAGGACCAGCGACCTACGTGGCTGCAGATCGGCACTGCCCACTGGTCTTCACTCGGTGCCTTTCCTACCCCAGAAGCCACACTCGGGGGATTGGAAGCTCCCCTGGGGTACCGCGGGGGCGAATCTGTCTGGATGGAAGAACAGCGTTGGCAGGACTGAGTCTGTTGGGGTTGCAGATGGAGCTGCTGCTGCCAGGCCGAACTGGGCTTGGTCCCGTCCTCCCCCCAGGCTTCATCTAGGCGCCGGCTGCCCAATCGGTGCTTCCGGACGCGGTCTGGGGGCCTCCGGGTCAAGCGAGTCAGGCTGCGGCTTTCCAGCGGCGAGGTGTTGTACCAGCGCCTGCGAGGCCGTGGCGTGAACGAACACCCGGGAGGCAGCTGGGACTCTGCCGCCTCACTCCGCGAATCCGACGTACAGCCCCAGGGGCCCGAGGCCGGTTTGGATTCGGGCCCATCCAGCCGCATGGGGGACCTGCTCTCTGAGGCCGGCGGCGAGGTGTCCCAGAGGTTCCTGTAGCGCCGCGGGGAGAAGTGGCGGAAGCCCTCCGTGTTCCCTCCCAGCGCTCCCAGTGTCTGCGTGAGCGTCCCGCGGCCTCCAGGAGGCGCTGCGGACACCCACTCCACCCTTGGATCCTGGGTGGTGGTGGGGGGGGGGGTCCCAATCGCCTGTGACGCTGGGCCACTTCACAATGCGCCTGGCGCCGCCGGCTCCTCGAGGCCCGCGGCAGGGAGCTGAGAGGAGCTGGTTGGAGGAAGGTCTGCAGGAAATCAGAGATGACCTTTAAAGCTGAGGGTGAATAGTGAGCCCTACCTGTGTTTCAGGCAGGAACTTGAACTTGCATACCTTGAATTTTAAGAAAGCTTCGACCGAAGTCGTCACCCTCAGAAAAGAATGCTGTAGAATGGGTGGGGAGTCACGATGTGCGAATTAAGCAGCTGTGGAAGCACATTAATATGCAGCACCACCCTTTTACTTTTTGAATTACCAAGGCCGAAACACGCTTTAATGTTTACGTTTAAAACTTCAGCACAGGAAAAAGACAATTCTGATTTTTCCCGAATATGGCAATTCCTGCTTTAGTCAAAACACGAATGTTGTGTATACATTTCTGAAAAAGTATCCGTGAATACCATGCAGAAATCACAGTTATTGTTGTTGTTTGTTTAGTCATTTTTCTGCAATTTTGTGCCATTCTTTGTCCTTGCTGAGGCACCCCCGTCCCCCTTAATGGGAAAAAGCATTGAATTTGGTTAGGAAAACTTGAGCTTGACTCTTCTGTCACTTTCAACTCCTGTGATCTTGGGCAATTTGCCCTCATGTTCTGGAAAGGTGCATTGCCATTGGGGGATGGGGATGATAATACCTGTAATATAGGGCTGTTGGGATGATGAGGTAAAACTGTATGGAAAGCTTGCCACCATAATGCATTCAATAAATGTTATTTTGATGTCCTGCTAAGCTTCCGCTAAAAATTTAAAACTCAAATTAACATATGGGGTGACAAAAATTTCTACAGATTCTTAGCTTAAGAAAAGATGAGTGGTTATAGGAATAGAACTGCTATAAAGGGCTAACCCCCCTGGGCTCTTTTTTGTCCAAACTGTACTGGGTCTTGGTTAAGTCATTTCCCTTCTTTGAGGTTACAATGGTCTGATGGTTTGTTTCCTTCCAAAATTCATATGTTGAAATTTAATAATCATTGATAATGGTATTAAGAGGTGGGAGACTTTGGAAGGTCATGGGTGAATCCTTCACAAATGGGATTAGTGCCCTTGTTCCAGAACCATGAGAACTAGCCCCAGGATGTTGTGAGAATGAAAAAAGAGGTAGTCAGATCCAGGATTTCACAGAGTACAATTTATTGGGGAATTCTGATAGAAGTGTGGTCCTGGGCAACAGCAAGATGAATGCACCCCTATAATCTGGGTCAGAAGTAGGGGGTTTATAAAGCAGACAGAACAAGAGTGACTTCATCCAAGTCAGAATGTACCTGGTTTGTCTTAAGGACATCAGGCTCATACCTAATGCTCAGGTCACCAGGCCCTGATTATAAAGCCCAACATTACTATTCTAATGGTTTTAATCATTTATAGTGTGCTGGGAAAATATTTGGAGAAAACCAAGCAGGGTCATTCAGGAGCCATCTTGGTGGTTACAACTCAAGATGGCTGCAGATACATCAGGCTACAGCCATGCTACCCTTATAAAAGGATTCCAAGCAACTCCCTCATCTGTTCTGCCATGCAAGGACACAGTGAAAAGATGGCTGTCTATGGACCAAGAAAGGGGCCCCCACCAGACTCCAAGTCTACTAGGGCTTTGGTGATCTTGTACTTTCTGCCTCTGGCATTGTGAGAAATACTTATATGCAACTCAGTCTATGAGATTTTGTTATAGAACCCGAATGGACAGGAGACCTAAAAGGAAAAATTATAGATAACATTCTTCAAATGTGACCTTAAAGAAGAAAAATGAATATTTTCCCTCTCCAGTTCTCTTCACTCGTATCTCCTTGGAGTTTCACAGCAACCCCAATAGAAATGATAACATTTTCCTCAGGATAAATCTGAGACTTGGGTATATTTTTTTTATTGGTTGTTCAAAACATTACAAAACTCTTGACATATCATATTTCATACATTAGATTCAAGTGGGTTATGAACTCCCATTTTTGAGACTTGGCTATATTAACTGATTTTTCCAAAGGCCATTTGGTCAACAGTGGAAGTTTTGAATTCAACTTCACTTATTTTTCTGCCTCTCAGGAAATGCACTATTAATTGAGACATGCTTTTAAGATGCAGATCACAAAATACACATTTTGTGTATGGACTCCATGGACTCCATGACCTTGAAGCCTCTTTGCATACCTAACTGCAGTGATGGAGCAGTGAGGTGCTCGACGTGGACAATGTCTCCCTAGCAGCCATTACTTCTCTGAGGACAAGAAGTTTCTATCCTCAATGTCTGTGGGTGCCACTCACATACTCATTCAATCAATCGATGTGATTATAATTCTTACAAGGAGATAGAAAATTTAAAAACATTAAACCAAATTTGAAATAGAATTATTTAGCTTTTGTAAATTAGGAAATATTTGGGCATGAATTGAGTTATGCTGATAGCTGAGCAACATATCTCTCTGGTGAAGCTCTGCAAAACATTTTGCATGAAGTGTGGCTCTGGCCAATTCCCAGGCCACTTCCTGTCACAGAGAAGCAGTGTTAAGTGGGTGAAGGCATATTCCCCCTATCTCCCCCCGCCAAGAGCCAGGAGATTGGCCACCAGCCAACTCTGCTTTCACCAAGTCACTGAGCAGTCATCTCACCATAAGTCTCAGCATCTTCATCACTGCAGAAGATGAACCAGTAAAGGCTCTTTCAGTCCCAAGTGAAACTGAAGAAGGGTTTAACCTATAAAATGCCTCAGATTTTGTTCTGTAAAGCCAAAATGAGTTAACCCATGAAAAACGCTTAGAAGAATGCCTGGCATGTTGTAGCTGCCTTATAAAATTAGCCACTGGAATCATTATCATTATGCCTAGAGCACTAAAGATGATAGTTCTGTGGGGCTGAACAAAGACTTAGTTTGAGACAAAGCCAAAATTAGACCCCAAAGGCTCAGATTTCAGCTCTGAGCTCTTTGGTCTTTTGCTTCCTCTGAAGGTTCTCAGAATTTGTCATGAAATCATGTATGGCTCGTTCACCACTATGGTGATGGAGTAAAGGACATAGTCTTAACTTTATAGCGCTATTGATTGGAACTTTGGGCCAGGATTAGAAAGATGGCATCACTAGAAAAAACATCCAGGTAACAGATGTGATAAGTGGTTAAATGGTCACCTTAACTGAGTCCCCAGGGGAGAGAGGGATTTGTTCTATCTTGATTGTTCATAAGTGAAGTCTTCGTAAAGGATGACTTTGGAGATAAACCTGGGAGGACAATGGGGATTTCTGCAGTCAGGGCTGAGCAGAAAGATGCAGCTGGCTGAGGAGGCTGCATGGCAAGTGTGGAACCCCAAATGCCTGCAATATTGAGGTTGTGTGTGGTTTGTGTAGTGGAGGTATGGGGGACGGTGACAAGAAAGAGGGTCTGGGCCTACTGAGATTCTGTAGGGCCTCAAATGCCAAGCCAAGGAGCATGGGCTTCCTCCCCTGGGACAGCATTTCCAGCTAGGTCTAGAAGAGCTCTCTAGGACTCCTTGGAGCTTCCTTGGGCTCCAGAAACAGGGAGAACTGGAAGTCTTTAGGAAAGGCTGTTGAGTCCTCTGCCCCTGCTTTGCTCAGAGAAGCTTTAGATTGTATCTGTTTTCTACCCTAGAGATTGTTAGATCATTCAATTTTTAAATATTGAAAAACATTTGGGGTTCTTCTGTTTATACAAAAGGGTTAGAATCCACTGTGTAAGTAACAGTGGGGATTCAGCAAAATTCAGAAAAGTGACCCCATGGATCTGGTGTTTTAGAAAGCTCAACCTGGCAATAATGTGGCAGATAAGTGAAGAGGCTGGTACGGCAATCTGGGTGAGCAATAAGGAAATGTAAACCAATGGCAAGGAGGGATGGATTTGAGGGGCAGTTCAGAGATTAAGGGACCATGACCTGGAGATGGATTTGGTTTGGAGAAAGAGGGTTTCTAACCTGGGTTCTCTGGCTGATAATGAGTGACAGTGATAAAAATCAGCAGTCTGGGTTACCTTGAGGACAGTGATCTTGGAAATCAGGTGAAAGAAGCTGTAAGAATGAATGGATCCCACAGAGAACAGCAAGCAGAATGTCTGGAACAAACTGATGAAACTTGGAAGAAAAAAACCTCCTGAGGGGCCTCGTGAGGAAGCTCTAGTCTTAGAGGACAGCTGCACAGAGCAGGGACAACCCTCACCTGCATCTTCAGCATCTGATTAAGACCCCTTGGAGGATCTCCAGCTTGGAAGTCATGTCAGCTCTTCCATGGGACAGTTGAAAGAGATGTTTTGCAAATGCTAAGCTGCCAGGCATTCCCTTGATACTGAGAACAATCAGCCTCATTTTTATTTGGCAGAAAAATCCTTTGTGTGTTTCATTGGATGTCTGGGAAGGTGGCCTTCTGCCAAATGATGACCTGAACCTCTTTTCTTAATTTGTTGGAGTGTTGGAAAATATGGCCAAATGTGCTCTGACCCCACAATTCAAATTAATCTACGGAATTAAAAGGTGTTCCGTGCCCTTCCTCAGAATAGACTGTTGATTGACGTGGGGACTTGAAATTCTAGAGCTCCTAATTCTTGGCTGGATTAAAGGGGATATATCAGCTAGATACCCACAGGTGGTATGAGCACTTGAATGTGGCTAGTTTAAACTGATAGATGCACAAGTATAAAATGCACAGTGGATCTAAAAACTTAGTATGAAAATTATAAAATATACCAACTTAAAATACTTGTTACATATTGGGATGATGGTATTTGGAATTCATGAGATTAAAAAATGTATATTATCAAAATTAATTTCACATTTTCTATACTTGTTTTAGTGTAGCTACTAGTGAAGTAAAAATTACATATATATGTAGCTAAACATCATGGCATCTTCATTACTTTTCTGTGAGAGGTATCTTTAAATTATTTTAACTGACACATAGACACATAAAAATTG